ACACACACACCAGACACACGTCAGCAGCGTTTTACGTCAGCGGCGGCACTGAACGCGGATCCACAACAGAACCGGAATACACACACACACACACACACACACACCAGACACACGTCAGCGGCGGCACTGAACGCGGATCCACAACAGAACCGGAATACACACACACACACACACACACACACCAGACACACGTCAGCGGCGGCACTGAACGCGGATCCACAACAGAACCAGAATACACACACACACACACACACACACACACACACACCAGACACACGTCAGCAGCGTCTTACGTCAGCGGCGGCACTGAACGCGGATCCACAACAGAACCGGAATACACACACACACACACACACACCAGACACACGTCAGCAGCGTCTTACGTCAGCGGCGGCACTGAACGCGGATCCACAACAGAACCAGAATACACACACACACACACACACACACACACCAGACACACGTCAGCAGCGTTTTACGTCAGCGGCGGCACTGAACGCGGATCCACAACAGAACCGGAATACACACACACACACACACACACCAGACACACCAGACACACGTCAGCAGCGTCTTACGTCAGCGGCGGCACTGAACGCGGATCCACAACAGAACCGGAATACACACACACACACACACACACCAGACACACGTCAGCGGCGGCACTGAACGCGGATCCACAACAGAACCAGAATACACACACACACACACACACCAGACACACGTCAGCAGCGTCTTACGTCAGCGGCTGCACTGAACGCGGATCCACAACAGAACCGGAATACACACACACACACACACACCAGACACACGTCAGCAGCGTCTTACGTCAGCGGCGGCACTGAACGCGGATCCACAACAGAACCGGAATACACACACACACACACACACACACACACACACACACACACACACACACACACACACACACACACACCAGACACACGTCAGCGGCGGCACTGAACGCGGATCCACAACAGAACCGGAATACACACACACACACACACACACACACACACACACCAGACACACGTCAGCGGCGGCACTGAACGCGGATCCACAACAGAACCAGAATACACACACACACACACACACACACACACCAGACACACGTCAGCAGCGTCTTACGTCAGCAGCGGCACTGAACGCGGATCCACAACAGAACCGGAATACACACACACACACACACACCAGACACACGTCAGCAGCGTCTTACGTCAGCGGCGGCACTGAACGCGGATCCACAACAGAACCGGAACACAATACAATGCTGAATAAAGGCGTAGTTTTAGTTATTTTTGGACCAAAATGTATTTTCGAGGCTTCAAAACATTCTAACTAACCCACTGATGTCACATGGACTACTTTGATGATGTCTTTATTCACCAACTGAGATCACATGACTTATTATAGGCGCGATGGAGGACGAAGGATACACACAGTGGAGCAATGCGAAGGTTTCATGTCTTTTGAGTGTTTGGCAAAAATGCAGGGTTGTTACAGAAATAAATCCGTGTTTGAAGACATTTCACGAGATATGGGGAGGCACGGCGTGGCTACAGTGCCACTGTAAAAAGCTTAATGACTTTTAAAAATATTGTGGAAAGCAAAACACTGGATAATTTTATTCGCATCTGCATCCATTGCATTTCGTGCTGTTTTACTTCCTTTTCCGGGTCAGAACGTCTACATTTGGTAGTTTCAGCAGTGTATAGTGTAAATGCAAAAATCGGATACGGGTCACTTTTAAAAGATGATGTAAGCGGGTCGTCAAAAAAATCGGATATAGTCAGAAAATCGGATTTGGGCATCAAGACCTGCAGTCAGAGCCGGCTCTCCCTATAAGCGAACTAAGCGGCTGCTTAGGGCCACGCCGCCACTAGGGGGCCCCCTAACTACAGATGGTAGTCGCCGGCGTCGCTGCTCAAAGTGTGGGGCGCCGGGCGCGCCCCACTGGTGGGGAATAGAGACGTGACAGGTGGGGCGCGCCAACGGGAGGAAATTTTCCCTTTTTATGCCTTTATCTTTATTCGTTCGGCGAGTCCGCATCGTCAACTTAATCTTTGCAACGACGCAGAAAACACCAGTTTATTAATAAACAATAAAATGTCTCCTTGCTATTTTTTACACATTCATAATCATTAGCCTGGCTACTTTTGCCGGTTCGTGCGCTTGGCTTGAGTGCGGCTTTATAACACTCATTATCCTGTATAGCCTATTTAAGTTATTAAATCAATATAAAGGGGCGATTTGTCCACTAATGGCTTAAATAAACAACTACTAGTCGACTAGAAAAAAACTTTAGTCGGAGGCAGCCCTTATTCCACATATTCTCGAACCAGCAGGGTTGAGCGCGCGACCCTGAGCGGAATGAGCGAGCCGAGGAATATTCAGAAATGCGCTCTCCGCTCATGCTCTGATCGGAACAAAGGAATATTAAAATAATTAATCATTAGTTTATATCTCTGCCCATCATTTTAATTCCATATCAAACACAGTAGCCTATGTTATGTCTATTAAAAAAAAATTAAATAGACCTGTTTTGCCAAATGGATTTCTCTTCATTTCTTTTTTTAACAGATTGCAAAGTGGCACTTTTATTTCTTTTCTATTTTTGAACTTGATACACATTTTGACACAGCTGCACTTTTATTTTCTCTATTTTTGAATTCCATGCAAGTTATGACACAGCTGCACTTTTATTTTCTTTATTTTTGAACTTGCTGTTATGTTAGCTATTTGATGTAGATAGTTAGTTTGTATTTAGATACTACTTGTTACTTCAATAAATTGAAAACATTTTAAGCTTGTTGCGTATTTCATTGGCACTGTGTTGGGGCGATGGGGGCAGTGGGGCTTAAATTCCCCCTTGTCCAAAGTGGGGAATGACCAAAAGAGTTTGAGAACCACTGCGTTAAGTCAACCAACCGTCTCAGATCGTTGTCTTCCCTGGACTTGGAAATTTGATCGCAAAAATGATCGCAAAGATCGAGACTCCAGCAACACCTGTAGCCTATATGCAACAACTTTATTGAAGATTTGTTAGATTGGGGTTAGATTGTATTTGCTGGTTTGCGGTGGCAATACTCCATTATTTACTGCAAGGCAGGGCCCCAAAATTTTCCTGCTTAGGGCCCCCAGATTTACAGAGCCGGCCCTGCCTGCAGTGTAAATGCAGCCTAAAAGTAGAGTTCTCAAAAGGTCGGGTCGGCCCGACAAACCCGACGGGACCCGCGGGTTCGGGTGGAAAATATAAGCAAATGACTCGGGTCGGGTCGGACCTTGGGCTTAATCTTTTCCGCTCAGTGAAAACAAACAAAACAAAAAAACATTTCATCGCTGCTGTTCACCGTAAAGAAAGTCTGGCTGCTGCGTGCCACGTGCCGACGATCAGGACCTGCTGGGCTGGTGGAAGACCAACAGCAGCGTGTATCCCAAACTGGCATATTTTTTTATATAGCCTATTTGTATATTTAAAGTTTATTGTTTCAGTTGTTTGTATTGTTAAAAAGGCGTGAACATTAAAGGTTGATTTGAATTCCCAACTGCTGGTCATGATAATACGTGTACGAGAAAAAGAGAAAAAAGACGGCGGCGTCGGGCCGCGGGCCGGGTTCGGGCAGATAATTCATGTTGATGTGTCGGGTTACATCGGGTCCGGGCTTTAAAAGCCACGGGCCGGGTCGGGTCGGGTTGTAATTTTCAGGCCCGTTGTGAACTCTAACTTAAAGTACTCTTTTTGTTGTTGTTTTTTGACAAATTGTTCGCACTCTACCATATATGACTGAATCTATATTGCATTTGACCTTTTTTTGATGACGGGTGAATTACTGTAATTCTACTGTCTCGACTACTATGAAATGAAAAACACCTATTTACAGTATTTGACAAATTACACACACTTTGTGCATATGAGATAAATCATTCATGCAATAATTTATTACATTTGGTTGTAATACATTTATTACATTCGGAAATGCTGAATAATTGAAAAATCTTAACGTAGCAAATGATTGACTGATTAACCATTAAGATTGGTTTAGTCAAATATATTAAAATGGATGCAAATGAAAAGTTTAATGTTCATACCATTATGAACATGGTTGTTAATGTAAATGTTATTTATACATACATGACAGACTTAATAGTAGTAGTAATATTAGTAAAAGTTATTTTGTGATTTTGTGTCTATCCGTAACTCAATTGAAAATATTTTGAAATGTTTGTAAAAAAAAGTGCATTTCTGATGATCTGTTGTGACAAGTACAGTTTAAAAAAAAAAGCTGGTTCAAAAAAGTAAAGTGAAAAAAAAAAAAAAAATTCTTCGTCTTTTATCAAAAACGCTATAAATTTATCTGCTTTAAAAATGACTTACTTTCTTCCATCAATACATTTTCATTAATAATATTTAAATTTCCTCCAGTTGGTATACAATACCTTTTTTTTTTTTTTTTACAATCCAATCAATTCCCAATGGATAAAATCTATGGAAAAGTCTAATATGCTGTTTCACTCAAAAATGCATCACAATATGTAAAAATTTGTAAAGTAAAATTGGTTGCAAGCACCGTTTTGCATTGACTTAAAAACAATCTGAGGCTAATCAATCTATTAAAGGATATGTTTTCCATGTCTGCTGCACAGTGGTAAAAGTTTTTGGACATAAAGTCACACTTACAAATGAATGAATTTCACTGAATAGACAACAAAATATGGCATTAAAATTTACTGTGGCAAATGAAACCCTCAAATATTGCTTCTTTGTATGTTTTTCAGAATTATTTCAATGTGCTCAGTGTCTTTTCATGAGGTGTTTGGTAAAAACAAACATGAAAACAATTAAATAAGATTTGCCATTGATATCAGCCTTAAATGTCTGACAGCAGCCGATGCTTTAAAAATTCAAGGTAAGGTAAGGAGCATCTCAGCGCTGCTTAAAAACAAAAATTATTCTGAATCTTACCTCTAGTAAGTAATGTTGAAGTAAATCGCTGTCTTACCGTTAAACAGATCTTTCTTATAGACCGGATCGCTGGTCTCCTTACTCACTGCGTTCTGGAGTGTGCAGGTGTAGGTGTTTTCTGGATTTCCTTCGTTTTTTTTTACTGTAATGGAGTCTGTATTTGATTGGTATGCCAGTGTTTCTCCAGCAGAATTACTCCAGGTAATACTTCCATTGTACTTGCAGGATAAATATACAACATCAGGATTTATCTTCTCCCGTCCTATAACAGGTTTGGGGACCGGATCTGTGAAAGAAACAATGAAAAATGCATGCTAAGTCTAAAACACATGATAATACTAATACAATAATTTGATAATACAAATAATACATGATAGCACCTTTTGTCAGTGTGATTGATATTATGTTATGATAAATTTAAATTCAATTTGGCCTTTAAACACATAAAAAATAAATATTGATATAACATATGGAACAGACTGAGGAGGATCACTATTTATACAAGTAAACAAAAAATCATTATGATAAAGTAACGTATTTCAATAATCAACATCCAACTCACCCATAACAGTCAAGGTGAATCTTTGTGTCTGCTCTTTACCGCTCACGTCAATGGTATAAACTCCAGTATGTTCGAGTGTTAGTTTAGAAATAGTGATTTGTCCAGTCGCTGTATTAAGAGTCGTGATGTCTTTGAATCTTGGATTCAGGACTGTAGTTTCTCCGTCTTCCCATTCAATCGCCTTCACAGTTAATACATCAGGTTTTATGTGTTTCCATGTGATGCTGGTGACAGGAGGAACAATTTTGTCTAGTTTAAAAGAAACTTTATCACCCACTGCTTTCGTCACCTCTTCACCTAATAATCAAAATATGAGAGAGTATGTCAGTCAACATTCAAAAAAACAAACAGTAACAGAAAAATAAAAATGAATGAGATCATAATACAAATAACGTAAAAGCTTTACATTTAGACCTAGTGCATTTTGCTTTACTATTTTTCAACCCAAGTAGTAACTCAATTTAATGTTTCATATCTATTTTTGGTTTCCTTTTAGCCCATTTCTGTTTTTGTATATATTATTCCACATAATCAAACAAAGATTAACAATAAAGGCCACATTTGGTGGTAATATTTGTGTATTAAGATAAAAAAGTACATATTTTTAGGGGGAAAATAAACTTTCATGGCTAAGCGTTTACAGAGGAAGTCGATACAAAACATTCTGCTATAAACGCAGTTAAAAATAAGAGAATATTTTCTTTCTCAGTCCCCCAGAACAAATCACAATTAACATCAACATCAGTACAAAACTTAAGAAAAGGTGTTTTAACAGGGTACACTTAGTATTTTAAAATGTACTTATTCCACCTTATTTTTTATGCAATATTTTTTAGGCAACCTATTTAGATTGCAAATATGTTTTAGAAGATATTGGGCTGTATTCTGTTAGAAGTAACTTCCTAATTAAGTAATTATTCTACCATCAGTGATGATAATAAATAATAATAAAATAATAAATCATTTAATCTCCGTATTCATATTTCCTTTAAACAAACATTTTAAACCGGATGGTATTGCATCAAACACTAGCATATACATTAATTTGAACAAATTATACGTTGGTATACAGGGGACCATTTTCATGAGATAAATAACTGTTTAACAATACCATTATCAGCGCTTAAAAAAAAGTGTCTAAATGTTATAGCCTGTTATTCCAAATTATACAATTGTTTGGAGAAAAATTATGTTTACAGATAAGTATCGAAGAGAGTATCACTGTCTGTGAAAACTACTTAACCTAACTGGAATCTTAATCATTTCAAAGTTGCATTGCAAGAGAAAAGCACCCCAGTACCCCACCCATTTTCTCTAAGATTAGATTAGAAGTCTCGGTCCCTCGCTAGTTTCCGGTGATCATTTCACGTCAAGAAAGTAACAAGAAAAAAATTACTGTTTGGGCATAGTATGGTATCGAAATATGTAATATAGATAAAATACATGTTGAGAACACAATGTATAAATGTAATTATTATCGTTTATTAACAATATTAGCCTAACTATTAACTACACGCCTTGTATGGGTGTAACTTAGGCCTCGGCCTGTGGCTAACAACTAAAACAATAATAACGTAAGCAAAACTAGGTCACGCCGTGAATTTAGTTATCTAAAATACACCTCAATCATTTGGCATTTGTAAATAGTCCTACGATATTATAATATATTTTACAACTAAACGGCTTGAAGAGCCCAAGAACGTTTTTTTGTTTGCTAGTATCATAGCTCGAATGCTAACGGTCGCATCGCGTACCTGAAACGGCTCCTGAGGCGATGAACACACCGCAGATGACGACCAGCAAGTATTTACGAAGTGACATCTTTATACAGAGTACACTTTCATGCACTGTACTGCTATATTTCAGGCAGAAAGTATCCAGGGTCCCGCCCGAGACGCCAGGGAAGAAAGGACTGAGCATGTAGAGGAAGAACAAAACGAAACCGAATGTTATGGGCGGCGGCTTTCACTTCAGACGTTCCGCGGTTTAATGTCTACATCTAGTGGCCAAATAACAACACTACTAACCATACTTTGTTCAGGATTCATTGATGAATAAAAAGTTTGAAAGAATAGAATAGAATAGAATAGAATATACTTAGCACTATTGTCCCCTAGGGGAAATTTGTAATGGACTCAAGAGTGCGTACTGCGTAGTGCGTTTCTGCCCTTACAGACAATAAAAAAATAAAAAAAAATAAACGTAAAATACAAATAACAGCTAAAGACATACACATAGGCTACATAAACACTCATGACACATCCAAACAGCAATTATTTAAAATAGAAATCTTTCCTAACAATATAAATCTTTACTATAATTGTTGATCAAATGAACACATCCTTGCTGAATAAAATTATTGTTTTCTTTCTAAATAGAAAGAAAGAAAAATTACTGACCCCAAACTTTTGAATGGTAGTGTATATTGTTACAAAATACATTTTCTGCTGTCATTTTTATTTTACTTTTTACTTTTTGTTCATCAAAAAGTATAGCAGCACAACTGTTTCCAACATTAATAATAAATCAGTAGCCTATATTATATTAATTTCTGATGGATCGTGTGACACTGAAGATTGGAGTAGGCTAATAATGCTGAAAAATTCAGCTTTGATCTCAGGATATAAAATACATTTTAAAGTATATTAAAATAGAAAACCATTATTTTATATTGCAATACTATTTCCCAGTTTGTATTGTATTTTTGATCAAATAAATGAAGAGGCTTCTTTCAAAAACATAAAAAATAGTAATGTTTGTATATTCTAGCACAATGTAACAATCCCATATCAGACAAAAGCAGGAACAAAACGAAACAAGAACAAAACCCTAACATTTACGGTACATGAAAGATCTCTTCATATCTCTTCAAAAAATAAGTACATTTTTTATTATTAATTATACTTAGTGATTTGATTAAATGTTCTACTTCGCCTGAGAACTCTTTAGAAGTAGGTATTTCTATTTATTTTTGTTCGCATGAATAAGAAAGTCAACAGTAGATTTAAAGTGACTTGTTTCGGTTTTCAAAAAAAATAAAAAAAATAACATCCTTAATACTAAAAAAATTACATTAATATTAGCTTTTGAAATACAATAGAAACTCAAATCATTCCAGAAAAGTGATTAAACACAACAAGAAAAAAAAAAAAAAAAATGCCTTCACTTTAATTTTTACAGAAGGTTAATATATCAGTTTTATCATAAAGCTGGATTGCAAAGGGAGATTTGAATTTCACTGTGCACTTTTCTAATTTAATTGGGTGTGCAATATTTGTATGGTAATAATCAAGTCTTCCTCCACTGAATGTCATCTACTATAGTAATTCGAGTTTTGAGACTGAGAAAGTTGACGAATAGGCTACATTTATTATAACATTCTTTAAAAGCGAACTTGTCTCAAACATATATAATTACTAATTAAAGAGATATAATTACAGCATGACTCGGCCAAGGGGGGCTTTCATAAAAAACATTACAAAGCTTGGAATAGAATTTATCACAGAATTAAATTCTTTATGTATATTGGTATAAATATTGGTATACATTCATAAAACTTTTATATGACAAAATATCTCAATAGGCTCAAATAGCAGTTGTTTTTATTAAGCATTTATCAATTTTTTTAATCTATTTATATTTTTTATGTCAGAATTATTTCATAAGATGTTCACATGTCCATCAGTTTTTTTTAAAATCAATTTCCAGCCTAAGAAACAGGGGAGAGATTGTACAAATTGAAAATAGAGATTATTATTTATGACAATGAAGGTAAACTATTGGAGTTAGAAAAGGAGTACAGCCATTACAATGACAACACTTCAGGAATGAGAAAGAAAAGTTTATCTTTTATTTAAGTTCTTATAGAGATTTTCATCTTGTCACTTTGAAAACTATGTATTACAGCAGATTCATATGTGAATAAGATGGCAGCCCTGAGAACCTGTTAGTGGAAGGCATGTCCTCATGACGGGAAAATAGACCATTAAAACAGGAGAAACACATATAAACACAGCGATACTACAGCTCATCCATACATGTAATGAACAAAAACAACAAAAACATTCACTGTTTAGATTCACACATTACCTTGGTATCTAAATTATGCAAAATCCCTCACTTATTCTCCAAGCCAAAAGATAAATAAGCAGAAAGTTTTGTAAAGAGATTCTCATCTGAACTGTTTGTACAGCAGATTCATATAATCATAACCTGAGGATGAATTTCCAACAGTGTCTGTGCAGCCTATAGCAGACAGAAAGGTCAAAGTTATGAAGTTATGAAGCACATATACAGTTAAAAGCAGATGCTCATGTATAATATAGTAAAGCTGGGATTTAGAGCCGATGACCAAATGCGTTGAGAAGATTTTTGCATTTGAAGAGTCACTAGGTTCATGATGAGCATCAGTCATTCACTCATGCATGTCATTCCTGAGGGGAAAAATGCTCGTTTTTATTGTTTATTTTAAAACAGTTCAGGTTGATCAGATCTGTAATATTGCTTCTTATAATATTAAGAAGTAAACTTACTCTGGAAGTCTTCTCTCTCCCACAGCGAGCAGCACAAGAACCTTAAAGAACAACAGCGACACGATCTGTCAAAAACTGTCAATATGAAACCATAATCAAGCCTATTTACTCTATTATTACACATTACTAGAACAATTAATGTGCATGCTATTCTAAAAATGTTTATCTTCACAATCTTTCATCTTCCTTTTCTTCAATGTTAACCTGTAGCAAAATTGGCTTTTTTTTGTTAAACAATAAACAATTAAATCAATGAGTAAAATAATTTGTTTTCTTTCTGAATATCTGATTTTGCACAGAAATGTCATATTATGGAAGTAAAACAAGTTGCAAATGGAAAATTACTCAGTGGTTCGAATGTTTGTTTTGAGTTTTAAGCAAAAGATAAGCACAGATATATGTTGCAAATGTTTTAAAAGATTAAACACAATATTCTTACCATATAAAGGTGGTATAAACAGGAAAAGGAGGATAAAAACCAAGCAGATCAAAACAATGGAAATCCAAATGACAAACTCCCCGTTTAAACCTAATGCAAAAAACAAAACAAAACAAAATTCAACATTGGGAAACACATTTAAATGATCAGAATATTTTTTTTTTTTACAAATAACGTGTGATGTATGCAGTGTGAAAACAGAGAATAAGTTCGAAACCAGAAACCGCAAACAAACAGCATTAATGTGTTGGTCTTTCACTCGGCAACATTTACTGCTGAAATCTTGTTTACGTTCATTGCAAATGTTTGATATCAGTGTTGAGTCCAGCAAGAATATCAACCATGACCATAATGCATTAAAAAATGACCACGGCAGATGATGGCGTGCAAATTAATGTAAACTAGTGTCTCTCAAAACAAACAAACATCAAAATAAGTCCTTGGGTGGAAGAGAGGAACTGAGGGGAACTTATTTATGAATTTATTTCTGTGAAATGTTTGGCTGGTAAAGTGTGTGTGTGCTGTCGTTCTCTCTTCTAATAGATGACACTAGCTTTGATATTTTATTATCCAATTCTAATCCAATCACATTCAAATATGTTTTAAGTATGACGTGTGTGTCCAAACACGTGTTGAGTGTGTATACAATTTCTGAACAGAAGGAACATCTCAGCGCCACCTAAGCATTAAAAAATAATCAGACAAAGAGATTAAATCGCCGTCTCACCTTTAAACAGATCTCTCTCATAGACCGGATCACTGGTCTCCTCACTCACTGCGTTCTGGAGTGAACAGGTGTAGGAGATTTCTGGATTTCTTTTGTTTTTGACATTAATGAACTCTCCTTTCCGTTGGTGCGCTGAACCCGTCAGTGTTTCTCCAGCAGAATTCTTCCAGATGATTGTTTCACTGTACTCACATATTAAATACACAACATTAGGGTTATCAGTCGCCTCTATTTTAATCACAGGTTTGGGGACCGGCTCTGTGAAAGAAACAAACAATGAAAACATTTACACTGTTGGTATCAGATGGCATATTTACTACAATTTTAATACAAACCATAACGTAAAAAAAACCCAACAAAACATTGTACTACCATGTTTTTGGACATGTATCGTGGTATTCTTAAAAGTATTTACAAAGCACCATGGTTTCATAATCTGATTCCATCACTGTACCATAGCACTGCCAAAATACAGTGACGGTAATCGTTCAGTATACCTGGTACTGAATGATTAACACATGGTATTTACTGTAATTCAAGGACAAAGAACTGATGAGTGTGGTAGATTTTGTTAGTGTAATAACAGTTATTGGTAAATTACATACATTACAATGTGTACAATACAATTGGTTAGGCACTAATACCTGAATTAATGGTACATGAATAGTGAAGATACGAACTAAACATGAACCAATGAAGAGCGATCCTTAACTATGACATAATGATTCATGCATGAATAACAGCAGCCTTAAACATGTTAGTAATGCATTAATTAACGTTTAGGGGTAAACTAAATCAACCAGGCTCCGTAAGAAATGAAATACATTTAAACAATTTATTAGTTATAATTAGGGCCCAAGCCCAAAGGGCGAAGGCCCTATTGTTTTCCTTAGGATTATTTATTATTATTATTATTATTATTATTATTATTATTATTATTATTATTATTTTTCTGCTACCTTTTGGACACTTTTGGAGGCCTTAACATGCTCAAAAACTCCTGAAACTTTGCACACATGTCAGAACCCGCGGCCATCAGGGCCGGGCTGAAGATGGTACCCGGGCGTGGCAGGGGGGCTCGACAGCGCCCCCTGGAACGGGGTCCGAAAACATGGTCCATAAATCAAACACGCTTGCATGTAATAATATGAAACTCGGTACACATGTAGATCTCCTCGTTTCATATATACTTCACACTCTTACTTTTTACCCCAGCCCAACAGGAAGTCGGCTATTTAGGGTTGTTGGTAAAACACACGCAATGGAATGTGAAATACTCCTCCTAGAGAATTCAAACAAACGGCACGAAACTCGGTCAGCATGAAGTCAAGACATTGAGGATGAAAGTTTGCGAGGGGATTTTTGATATCTCGAACGGTTTGGCCGTGGCGAGGAAACGAATTTATGGCGAGAAACAACAAACAAGAAGTGCGTTATAACTTCTGCATACATTAACTGATCTTGATGAAACTTCAGCAGTGTGATCGCTGTAAGAGGCCGATCACATGGATGTGACTATTGTGAGTCAAAGTTATAGCGCCACCAACTGGCAGCAGGAAGTGTGTCACTTTCTAAATGCTTTTGACAAAAGTGGGGGGGTTAGTTTTATCTACAGTAACAAAACTCGATATGTATATTGTACTCTTCGAGCCGGACAACTTTCTAATTTACCGTAATTAGCTACGACCAACAGGAAGTCAGATATTTTGGTTTGAATGTGGATTTCAGATTCTGAGTTTTTAGCTACTCCTCCTAAGTAGTTTATTTTATTCATGCCAAACTTTTTCAACATGATGAAAATACATTGAAGATGCTAAATTGTGAACAGATATTGAATATCTCAAACGGTTTTGCTATGGTTGAGGGATTCAAGTAATGTCAAAAAAAGAATCAGGGCATGTCTCATATCTTTCTAAAATGTAATTATACACCATTTATTTTTATATAAAATTATACAAATATTAGAACTAAACCCATTTTATTCCTTTTTTTCAATTTAAGAATTATTTTTAAGTTTAAAAACAGCCAGAATGGTTGTTTAGTCAAAAATAATAATAATCCAAATCATATATAGTGCTATACTGCCCTCTTGTGTTCAAAATCAGGTAGGCCTATTGAATTTATAAATATTTATATATTAGGGATGTTACTATGGGAATATTTTCCCACCGGTTAATCAACGTGTGATTGTGTAAACCAATTGTGTAAACCTCCCGCTGGGGGGTTTAAAAACACTAACTTGAAAGCGAAAGTATAATATGGACGTCCGCACAGACATTGAAATGGTGGCGCTCGAATGAATTCCTATGGAAGTAGAAATTAACTAAACGTTCGCTCTGTTCTGCTCGCTCGTCGCCATGGACGCGCACCATTATGAATGCCAGTGCAGCCGCATACTTTTTAGTGTCACTAAAATTAGTGCAATTTCGGGGGCCGATTGCTTGAATTGTGAGTTCAATAGTCTATTATTTTTCACGGAAAACACAACAATAAAAGAGTACAATGACAGATTCGCTTAAATAGGCGTTTTTACATAAAATAGCCTATTCCATCATCATCTTTTCAGTCAGCTCTTCACTCTCGTGATTAATGAAATTTGACTCCTGTTGCTGATATTTGCTGCAACTTTCGTTCAGCTCACAATTTAGTAAGCAAACACGTTTCAAATGTGTTTTTATTTTATTTTTGTGTATGTGTGTGTATATGTATGTATATATATAAATATAGCTTATGTTTCAAATATGAGTTAATTAACAATCGTTGGAAAGAATGATACTTTTAAACATAACACTAAACCGTCATTAGGTGTCGCCAGGCGACCGTCTTAATGAGCGAGTCATTGATTCATTCGTTTGAACGACTGAGTCATTCATGAATGAGATAGATGTTTATGGATTGATTGGTCATTGAATCTTTGAGTCAACCGATTCGTTCAAAATGCTGAATCATTCAGTAATGAGAACGCGTTGCTGTGAGATGCGCGATGGTTCTGCTGTGATCTTTGTTTAACTATTTTCGCTGCTGAAACAGAAAAAAAGTCAATATTGCATGTAAAATGTAAGTGATTTGACTTGTGTGTGTGTGTGTGTGTGTGATTGTGTGTGTGATTGTGTCTGTTACAGTGATAAGAGTTTAACCCTTGTTAAACTTTAGGCCTTGTCTTTTTGGATATATATCTTTTTATATTAAAAAATAGTCATACAACCCATATATTTTAAATGTATTGTTTGCTTTAAATTACATTAAGATTGTATGTTTGGTAATTGAACCTGAATGAATTTTAAATGAATGTGCTATATTTCAGATCATATATTTGTTTTCCTTAAAATTTGAACTAACACTAACTTTATTCTCATCTGAATGATAGATTATTTATTTCTGTATAAAATAAAAACACATTTGATTTTTCTTTTTTAATCAATGTAGAATGTGTAACTGAAAAAATAAACAGATTAGGGCTCTGTTTGATGACAAGAAATGAAAACCAATGCGATATGATGAATGTCCAAAAGATGGCTCCCACAGACTGTTTTTAAATAGGATTGTTTGATATTTTTTGCTTTTAAACTGTGTGTGTGTGTGTGTGTGTAAGAGATTTTGGTTGGGTGACAGTTGTAGTTTACAGTTTGACAAGAGTTTATAGCTTGACAAAAGCACAATGTTGTGTTTTATTGCAAGTGTACACAAATATAAGTAAACACTTTGCAGTTTGAATAATGTCCTGTATGAACAAAAGGACGGAGTATGTTTTTATGTCTACATTGTTCAATTACGCCACACACACACACACACACACAAACACACACACACACACACACACACACACACACACACACACACACACACACACACACACACACACACACAAACACTATTTTTCTAATCAGATCAGGCAAGTAATATTCTGTCTTGTCTCTTAAAAAAACAATATATATATATTTATGTATATATATATATATATATATATATATATATATATATATATGTGTGTGTGTGTGTGTGTGTGTTTGTGTGTGTATATATATAAATATAGCTGCGAGCAGCGATGAAAGGGCCAAAGCCGGCGGCACCGCCACCCCGGTTATAGCGCCACCAACTGGCAGCAGGAAGTCTGTCACTTTCAAAAAGCTTTGAAATCACCTGATTGCTTCAAACTTCACTACTATGATGTAAACACACGGCAGATGTAGACCTGGATGTAGACCTGACCTTTCAGAAGGTTGCTCTCGCATACTTTGTGGTTGATATGTGCCCTCAATGCACACTTTTGCAGAGCCCACACTGATACAAGCTCTACAGCACACTTCTTTTCGACAGTCAAAGCAGGGTTACGTTTTTGCACGTCGTGCACAATAACCCTAAAGGCACCAGGGTGGCGGTGCCACCGGCTTTATATATATATATATATATATATATATATATATATATATATATATATATATAAATATAGCTGCGAGCAGCGATGAAGGGCCAAAGCCGGTGGTACCGCCACCCCGGTGCCTTTAGGTAACTAAAGGCACCGGGGTTGCGGTGCCACCGGCTTGGGCCCGTAATCGCTGCTCGCAGCTATATTTTAAACTATTGACATCCGCAGCTTCATCATAAACATTACTGAAGGGCACAGGATTAGTTTGTCATTAATTTCACTGATCCTCCTTATCAAACATCAGAAAATACTAAATAGACTAATCATTGATCTTAAAAGGTCATTATCTGTTTTGTGTTATTCTCTTTCTCATCTTACCTAACCTGACTTACAACAGTTCCTGTCCGCCATCAAATTAGTGTAATAATATCATGTGCTGTGAGAAAAGGCTATAAATCTCCACCTCCAGCATCCACACACACATAGGCGACTATAGCCGAGACTCTTCTCTGTGTACAGATGTGTGTGTACAGATGTGTGTGTGCAGATGTGACGTAATGACGCAAAGACATGCTCGAATCTCCCGCGGAAATCCACCAGTACCACTGGAGTTAAAAACTTTACCACAAGCTTACCGTTTTGAATCGAGCTACAGCAAGCAGAGAGTTTTGAACACTGGCTGGTTATGTACTTGCTCAAAAATTTATTTGGGATAATGTTTAACCCAGAAAAGTTACGGACTGCAGCTTTAAGGATCGCTCTTCATTGATTCATGATTAGTTCATATCTTCACTAATCATTAGTTCATGTTGAAGTAACTATTAATTCAGGTAGGCTATTAGTACATGATTATTCATGCCCTGATATTGTAAAGTGTTACCCCATTTTTTCCCCACAAATATAGGTAAAAAAAGTTGACAGACTAGCTTTATTAGGCTAATTAAAAATCATAATAACAATATGATGCTTTTAGTAATACTATTAATATAAATATAGCCTACTAATCAATATCAACTCACCCATAACAGTCAATGTGAATCTTTGTGTCTGCTCTTTACCGCTGACGTCAATGGTATAAACTCCAGTATGTTCGAGTGTTAGTTTAGAAATAGTGATTTGTCCAGTCTCTTTATTAAGAGTCGTGATGTCTTTGAATCTCGGATTCAGGACTGTAGTTTCTTCTCCGTCTTCCCATTCAATCACCTTCACAGTTAATGCACCCTTTTTTATGTGTTTCCATGTGATGCTGGTGACAGGAGGAACAATTTTGTCTAGTTTAAAAGAAACTTTATCACCCACTGCTTTCGTCACCTCTTGACCTAATAATCAAAATATGAGAGAGTATGTTAGTCAACATTCAACAAACAAACAGTAACAGAAAAATAAAAATGAATGAGATCATAATACAAATAACGTAAAAGCTTTACATCCTAGTGCATTTTGCTTTACTATTTTTCAACTCAAGTAGTAACTCAATTTAATGTTTCATATCTATTTTTGGTTTCCTTTTAGCCCATTTCTGTTTTTGTATATAATATTCCACATAATCAAACAAAGATTAACAATAAAGCCACATTTGGTGGTAATCTTTGTCTATTCAAATAAAAAAGTAGGCCTACATATTTTTGGGGAAAAATAAACTTTCAGGGCTAAGCTTTTACAGAGGAAGTCGATACAAAACATTCAACGGTGAGGTGACCATTCAACCCGAAAATCGTCATAACCATTCCAATAACTTCGAAGCTGTTCAGTTAAGCTAAAAAAAAAAACCTGGCATAGTTCCCCTTTAACTGTTGTGCTAGTTACTTCAAAAAGTAATCTTATTAGCTTACTTATCTTGCAATATTAATTGCGTTACCCTCAACATTGTATATCTAAACTGCTGTTACATGATAAGAAGAATGGCATTGGCATCTACGCTAATTTTAGTGTCTTTATTTATCCCGAGGTTTTCCCAGCCTGCCGGATCCAGGCCGTGTCCGGATCTGACGAAGGAGATTCGCCTGGACCCGATGAGAATGTAGTCCTGAAATGTTAAGTATCCTCTCCCTATGGAGGATCCCTTTCCCACTCTACAGATAAAGCGTTGAAAATTCGGTTCGCGTACCCCGAAGTGATAAAATAAAACTAAATTCTTTGTCTAATATAGGCAAGACAAGTAGTTTGTGTTTAGGCATGGTTTTTAGGGAAATTACAAACCTAGAGAGAACGCCGTCGTCTTAGTGGCCCCTAATGTAATAACAAATGATCATTTTGCTGGAAGTGAATCAACCAAAACTAACTTTAGCTGGAAATAACATTATTCAAAAATCGCTATAAAGCCTAAACAATCTCTGTTGCCGTAAATTGTATGTTTATCTCTGTACAGCTGCTTTGAAACAATCTCCATTGTTAAAAGCGCTATATCAATGAAGATGACTTGACTTGACTTGACTAGGGTCGACAAAAAAAAAAAAAGAGAGATGCTGCACCATCTTCAATAAAACATTATAAACTTCACTTACCTGAAATAGCTTCTGTGGTGATGAACACAACAATGGCGACCATCAAGCATTGATGTGACATTTTTATAAGACAAAGTACACATTAATGCACTTCTATATTTAGCTCAGAATGTCCTTTACACGTCTGAGACAAGGTGTAAGAACAGAGAATTGAGGAAGTGCAAAAACAGAAACCACAAACATGTGGTATTGAGTTGATCTTAATGTAGGACACACTTTTAAACTGCATGTTTTGAAGTTCATACTTCCCTAAAGACACATACATCTCCATCTGATTTGAAATTTTGTTTTAAAAATGTAAAAATGTCTTAACAAATCTTACATTTGACATAGGATTTTATTCAATAAAATTTTACGGAACGGCCACGGAACGGAAGCGATGAGGAATACAGACTGAAGAAGATTATTTCCGGACGGTGTTGTGCCAAATTCTGACCCCCGCCAAATTATTTCCCTCCTAGTATTGGTAGGTTTAGGATTAGTTTTGGGTAGTTGGTTAGGATTGGGTGGGGTTGGGATTAGGCAATCAGGTACTAACTCGAAATTCGAAATTCGGCACAACACCGGTGGTAGGGTTGCCACCCGTCCCTTAAAATACGGAATCGTCCCGTATTTGTGAAATAAACAGCGCGTCCCGTTTTGAATCAATACGGGACGCGGTTTGTCCCGTATTTCCGAGTTGTCTTAAATGCATCATCACATGCAAATCATTACACCCGCATTCTGTGAAGACTCGTCCTATTCTACCCTTGATTGGCTAATACTCGCTGCCATTGTTGGTTTGATTGGTTTGTTTAATACCATCAGGTTCAGGGCCAATCAGAGTCAGAGGAGGGCGGGTCTTTTGGCAGAGAGTTGATAGCAATGCTAGCTCAGAGAAATCAAAGCACCGTCTCACAGTTCTTCATACCTCAAGGATCTCCCGAAGCAGATAGTGTAATGACAGTTTTTTAAACAGCTCAATAATGTTCTGATTGATTACGTTTTCATATGCTGCCTATGCCCATTTGCTAGGAAATAATGTTACAATGTAAATTAATTATATCCATACATTATGGTATGATTTGTTTATTATGGTTAAGGTAGTCAGACACATGCGTTTTTTAAATAAGAGAGAGATATATTTAATACATATTTAATAATAAAAATGTGCATGTGTGAAGAAAATGACTTATGCTTAACAAATCTAGAGAATTTCATCCTTTAATACTATAGAATTAACAATAGGTCTGAATACATAAATAAATAAATACATAAATAGATTTTCTTACCAATAATAAAAATAGTGTTATAATTAAATTGAGAAATGTTTGTAGATTAAAGGTTATTTTTGTGTGGTATCACTGTTTGGATGGTGTTACATGTTTGAAAGAAACAGCTACTCAGTGCTGCACGGAGTGACAACTTAACGCCTACATGGTCCAATACTGCACAGTACTACTGGTCTACTGATGTTTTTGATGTTCAAGATCCTTTGCTAAAGTCAAAGTTTTTTTCCAATCAAATTTAGTATTTGTTTGAGTATCAACGCATTTGTTTAATTTATAGTGAATAAGTTATGGATCTGTTAATTTAATAAGTTAATAAAGTATGGTTAACATCTCACATACAACTCCGACGAAAGGCAATTTTTTTGTTATCTCATTGTCACACTTTGTTAAAGTTGTTTGTGATAGAGTGATTTATTCACACTGATTTCAATAGCAGATAGCTTATTATAATGTCCATTGGTACTGATCTTATTACTTTCCTAGAAAATACGTTTTGAGAATGATACCGGCATACCGTCGGGCCTGTGGTCATTGTGGCCCCGAGGACTCTGGCCCCCGCTGCGGCCGCCGGCAGGCGTCCCTTATTTTTTTGTATTGAAGGTGGCAACCCTACCGGTGAGGAAGATGAAGACTCGAAGGTGGACTTAGTGGGAACTGGATCCGCGGACCACAGATTGATCAGCTCCAGGTCCGCTCCTGGCTCTGAGATGGACTGACCCGTATGCGTCAGCTCCAGTCCGGATTGGGTGTTATAAATGTGCTAATTGCGATGAAGCAACTTTATTATTGTTTTAACGGTAACACTTTACAATAAGGTTTCATTAGTTAACTGGTTTGTTTAACATGAACTAAGAATGAACTGCACTTTGTTAATGTTAATTTCAACTTTTACTAATATGGAAATCAAAAGTTGTAGGCCTATTTGTTAACATTAGTTAATGCACCGTGAACTAACATGAACAAATAATGAACAGCTGGATTCTTATTGTGGGAGCCATGTAATGGGAAAGTCATGTGACCAAATGATAATGGGAGTGTCATTAATTAAGTGGGGTTATAACACCTGCGCGCGTGTGTGTGTGTGTGCGTGTGTGTGTGTGTGTGTGTGTGTGTTCGTATGGAAGAATGGGAGTGAGTGCTGGAGCACATATTTTGTTGACTGTGCAAACCTGTACAAAATAAAACAACATGCAAGCTTTAAGGATAAGCGTGTCACAGAAGTTAATCCTGCACTCAGCTCCTTAGCGGTTTTTGGATTGTTTTTAAACTGTTCTTTTCAAGAGTGTTAAGTTGTATAAACGTCCTATTTGTTATTATTATATATTACAATTATATATGCTTACAATTTCTAAATTATAATTTTGTTTTATTATTTGTTGTTGAAATGTTTTGGTAGTAAGGTTTCATTTGTTTACATTAGTTAATGCATTAACATGAATTGATAATAAACAATATATTTTATTAATGTTTGGTAATGAAAATGTTTGAATTCATGTTAGTTCAGTGTATTAACTAATATTAACAAATACACATTTTTATCTTAAAATGTATTTGTAAATGTGAAGATTAACTAAGATTAATAAATGCTGAAGTATTGCTCATTGTTAGTTCGTGTTAAAGGGACAGTTCACCCAAAAATGAAAATTCTGTCATTTACTTATGTTGTTTTGACTAAACCTGTATGAGTTTCTTTCTTCTGCTAAACACAAAGAAGATATTTTTAAGAATGTTGGTAACCAAACAGTTGCTGGTCCCCATTGACTTCCATAGTAGGGAAACAAAGTCAATGGGGACCAGAAATGGTTTGGTCATTCTTCTATGCTATTCTTTTTATTCACAATAATCGCGAATAAACAGTGAATAATGACCAACGTACATGTAGCATATACTCAGTTCAATGGATTTTTTATGTTCAAGTTATGTTTGAGGCCTAATCAAAGTTTACCTCTTTGTAGTGTGTTTGTGTGTGTGTGTGTGTGTGTGTGTGTGTGTGCGTGTGCGTGTAGCAGAGACCAAACATGGTATAGTTGAGGTTACATTGATCGTTGGTTCTACAATAAAATACATAGTATCAAAGAAATAATAGTATCAAAAGACACTAAACAAGACAGTAAATCATTCACACAGTGTCCTGGGATGCATGTTCATTTATAGATCAGTTTGTCTATAAATGAATGCAGGAAAGTCTGTTTTAAGGTCTGTTTCTGTCTTTCCTATGGCCTAAGTCTTGACCACATGATCACATTTTTCACAGCAATAAAGCCATCTTATCCTATCGTCGCCCTGGCGACTGAAACCTTTCCTGTTTTCTTGGGCGGGGGATGTTTCAATCCTAAGAGTGGGCTTAATTGTTAAATGTAACAAATTGTTATGTGTCTGATTGTCTCGGTCGTTACGGGTGTCTGGAGCGGTACTAACCATGAGGACTTTGTTGGGCTCCTGTATAGTTACATCATGTAGCACAATAAGATGCTGCTTTTGACATATTTGACACGGCTCCTTGAGGGTGCAAGGCTCGGGTTTGTGATTGTGTGCGCAGCGCCAGCAGTCTTTGTCTTTAAGCCACTCTGTGGTTTGGGTAGTTGTTTGTACTAAGAGTACAAAGTTAGCAAATGCTTCAGCATCCCCTATGTATGGAGTAGGGTCATGCATGTAGGCTTGTGCTAATTTGTAGGCACTTGGCACTTTTAATCTGTCTAGAAGCACTTGATATGTTAACTGCTCTGTGAGATGAGCGTGGCCATCTACGAGACTGTCTAGAGCCATTTTGAGTAAGGCAAGGTCAGACTCTTTACCACTTTCAAATTTAGGCCGAGCTGGTTTGGGTATACCACATGAGCTGGCAATCAACATGTCTATCAGATTGACTGGGGTTTGTGTCTGTTCACACGGAATACTAGGCACTGAAAATAGCTGTGGGTCGACTGCAGTTGCCTAAAAGGTTGATATAACTGACCTGTTGGAGGATGAGGTTGAGACTGGACTGGGCCTGCAAAAGTAGGTGCCTGGGCATAGCTGGTCCCTGTGGAATCCTGAGACATTTATGGTCTAGGCAGAAAGGTTGGGCACCTGACTGGCCAAGACTACAGGTTTGTCTATTACAATACAAGGAGTGTTGCACTGTTGTAGGAGGGGTTGGGGAGGGAGGCACGCTTGGTGATGCTACATGATGTTTCATTAAACAAAGTACTAATTTGAAAGCACTTTCAAATAATCAATCCAATTAACTTGTCATCAACAATAATCTTGTCTATCCCATCAGCATGAGAGGAAGCATATATATATATGCACTCAGTTGACTCACCTACATTCCTTGACAGTTTTTCAGCATCCCTCCACCACCCCGACACATCACTCTTGGCTTGTTCCTTCCACAGCCAGGAATACGGGGGGATAACTCTGGGTTCGGGCCGAATACCGAGCGCGGAGCCCTATCCTCGGACAGCACGCCAAATATGCATACCATTTATTCTATCTGACTTATTTGTAAGTGTGAACTCATGAAAGCATATATAGGAGAAGGAACAACAATTACAGGTTCTGCGTGTAATGGTTTGGGTATAGAGGGAGGTGTAATGTGCTAAGCAACAGAGTGTTAAGATAAGGGTGAGGGTTAACAGAATTACTCTTATGTTTGTAAGGTGTTGAGAGCATGGATCTGGGCTTTGTGTTGAGTCTGGGTTCGAGGCCGGGTTTGTGGAGATGGGCTGCAGGGCATTGGGTCTTCTTACAGGATGGGGGGCGTCAGTTGCCCTCCAGCGGTCTGGATTTGTTTTTACTGGTATGACCTGGGGCAAGTTCTGCTAGCCTGAACTCTTCTTCATCCGGAAAATATCAACAGAGTGATTAATAATCTGGTAAGTTTGCGTGCACTGGGAATTATATTTTCTCAAATTAATACCAAGTAATGGTAAATCTACATACAGTAGACAGTGAATATGATATATTTGATAATCAGCTATTCTACTCATTTTTGAAAGTGTGGATTCTTAGAAAATGTCTCAGGTTACTTGATTGCGCTTTGTGTGTGACCGGTTGTGAAGCATGTGTGCAATCATGCCAAGGAACTTGGCCTCAGATAACATCTGATGATGACGTCACTGGAATTGGGGCTTTTTAGAGGCTATAAATAGATCTGGAAACAAGTGCGCCTTCAGGTATCACTTTGTCTGAAGAGACGTCAGGACAAATCCTCAGTGCGGCAATGTAATGCAGCATCTCATTCCTACTTTTTCAAGGAACAGGGTTACAGTCAAGTAACCAGAGACGTACCATTTCAAAAGCTTCTCTCAATGCTGTGCTGCTAGAAGTGTCCGCATTCCAGACGAAACTGGACAAGTGTAAATGCATCTGGTTGTTGAAACCACATATGTAAATTTTACTCCTCCAAAAAATGCTAAAAAAATAATCGTGTGAGAGTGTGTTATAGGCAATATGTCATGTTATAGTCAAATATGACGGCGCTACTGCGACACGCATCACCTCAGATGAGCAGCTGAGCGTCTATTCACCAAGCCAACGCGCCGAAAATGATCACAAATCAAAGTGAAAGTAAGTCGCAGACGCTTAACACACAATCATCTTCATTAAAAGTAAAGAAACGAAATGATCTTACCAGTTCTGTTAACGCTCTCTCTTATTGCTGTCTTTGATTTTAAAATTATCTGTTGCTTTCGGTGACGTGAACTCCATTAAATCTGCAGCAGGAATTGAAGATCGGATTTATATCCGTTTTGCAAAAACACATTTATGTGACCAGGTGTACATGGAATCGTTTTGATAAATCAGATAGCTATCCGATCTGAGAAAACGCATGAAGTGGCCAGGTGTAAACAGCCCCTTAGAGTAGTTCCTCCTGCGCTTTATCATCATTGGAGGAATGCTCGGAGGCGGCGCACTCAAATCTATCTCGCCAGCAACAAGTGATGCAGCCTCCTCTGCCTGATCCGAAGAAGCCCCGGGCCGCGCTTCGGAATCAGGCAAAAGGAAATCCCGATCTGGAGAGAGAGCAAGCGAACGGAACAGTCCCGTCTCTCGCTCCTCAGCCAGAACGACTCGCGAACTTTAATGGAGAAAACCTCACAGTGCTCGCAATTGCCATGCTCTTCCCCCATACACTCAAAGCAGAACTCATGTATATCTTTAACAGCGATGGGCCGTGAACAGGGAGGCGCGCATCTCCTGATTGTTTGCGACATGATGTTCTCTTTTTTCTCTGGATCAGGTGGATCAGCGTCTACTTTGACATTCTTTTTCCAGTCCTTATAAAGTCCATCAAACTTTTTGACATTTGGAAACCCCCTCAGCCTGCATTAGTGCTTTACAGACAATCTGTCCAATCCGAAGTCTTGGACTGTCATTAATCATGGAAATTCCCTCTGGACCGTCTCATGTTAAACCCTCCATCTTTTCATCCTCTGCTTTCTCCTGCCTCTGGTCTGCAACACATCAACTGGTTATACCGACATTTGTCTCTTAAAGCAACACCAAGTAACTTTTCCTCAGCGGTCGCCCTACAGATTGGAAGCGGAATTGTCCATTGCTGCTGTCGTAAATAATTTAGCCTACCGCATCCCACTGTCGCACGCGCACGCTCGCTGTTTATCCAGCACCGGCTTTGGAATCAAGGGGGTAATCCATCAGCCGGAAGTTGAAGCCTCGCGGGAGCCGCCATTGTAGCAGAACTTCACCTGCTGTTAGCATCCCATTGACTCCCATTCATTTTGGCGTCACTTTGACAGCGAATAACTTTACATCTGAGGCGTCCAAAGACTTAATTTGTCCATTGTTTATTTCTAAAGAAACACGACAATGTATAAAATGCTCCATTACTTTGTATCTTACGTTACGGCCCCGTAGAAGCCGTTTTTGTAAAAATAGGCTAACGATTGCGTCATAACCACGGGACTTTCTGTCGCACAATAGAGACATTACCGTATAGACAGGAGGAGAAGCTCGCAGGCAATCTTTTACAGTCTATGATGCAATCGGGGGGACATGGAGGCACAAAGTCAAGGTAGAAGCCCATAAATAGAGAGTCCATAAAAGCAACGGGACAAAATATTTCAACAAAGTTTTGGAGGAATTCGGTGATTCACATTTGTCTTGGCACAGCTACTAGAAGATTTACAACTGTCAGACTGTCGTCAAGCTCAGTTTGAGCCTGCGCAGTCGCTCAGACATCAGACAGGAAGTGCAATAATCAGGCTTCAGTCTTCTGCGTTGAAATCAACGGGGTCGCTCTGTTCATTTCTTTTACTGTCTATGTTTGGAATCAACAATGGCCACAGACATTTTGAGGAAGTGGTGGGGGAAGTGACGTATGTCGTAAAGCAGTCGAATTTTGTAGTTCTTTTTGTGCTCCGGTTACTACCCCAAACCTGAAGTTACATAGTGCAAGTAAAAGCGATACAGACCCCGTCAGGCTATGGCAGACGTGCCCTTTAGCCTATTGTAAGTCGATGTACCATCATAAGGGTCTTGGAAATATATTATGAAGTTTGAAAGGTTTACTTTAATAGTCAGCAAAAGTTCTTTCTAGTACACGTTTCTTTCCTTACTATACTTGCTAATAAATGCTTAGAACTTCATGTGTGGCATGTTTCTTTTATAAACCACTTTCTCAATAAATGATTTACAACAACAATTGAAGTGTCTTTTTTTTCTATAAACCATTTTCTTAATAAATGGTTACAATGATTATTACAAGTGTCCTTCATTATATAACACTTTCTTAATCAATCGTTTAATAACTTCTGGTGTCTTACTTTATAAAAACACTTTCATAATATGAAGTTACAATTGTGGTTAGCTATAACACATAAGTACTGCATACATAAAAAGGCATAACTATAATAGAATAATTGCACATTCCATAACAGTACGTTTCTGACATCTTTTAAACACACAGATGATGAGAACACAGATCAGCAGAAGCAGAATGGCTCCTCCGCCGGCTAGGATGCCCACCATGACCCAGAAATTAAAGCCAAAGAGTTTATCAAAACCTGAACCTGAACCTGGACCTGTAAGACATGGACCACATGAAATCAATAACAGACAAGTGGATCATTATAAAACATCTGTTTTAAGCTGCTTAAAATCCTACAATCTGCATCATGCGTAATACTGTAAGATCCAACTTTATTTCATGAGGGGGTCCAATGTTTGGACACACTTCATTGAATTTGCTCTTAATTATAAAAACTATTTGAGGTGAAACCTTGGAATTAGTTTTGTAAATGTATACTGTGATGGAATTTTTTAATTAATCATAACTAATTATTGCAGGATTAACATTTATATGCTTTTGAAAACTATATCCCCAAAGCTTGGGCCAAAGTGTGACTGAATCATATCGGAATATAACAAAAGGGGAAATGAAACAGATGTTTAAATATATAAACTCATGACTTTGAGCAACAAAGTGAAGTAATCAAGAAATTCAGACTTTCTGTAATAGAAGGGTTTGCTGAATTATACATGAATAACCAGTCATATTGTAGAAAAATGATGTAATGAATCATGTCACCTTTGCCATGCTTCTAATCTAAAAAAAAAACTAAAAAAAAACTGTTGTGCTCTTTTTGGTGGAGGGATTCTCTCTGAAATTGGTCTGAGGTCCTCCGGTCATGATTAAAGCACATTCGAAGGCATTGTCTGGAGTCTGTTTGATTATTGCTCAACAAGCTAGACACTAGAGATCTCAAGTGATAGTGTTTAGTGTCGCTCTAGAGACCTTATTCCCGAGTGATAGGGTTCAAACAGGTTGAGACGTGGGCCGACTCAAACGCGTATTTAGCAGAGTATAAATTCATAGGTGTCTGGGACACCCGGTTTAACTTAAAGGGATAGTTCACTTTGAAATTAATTTTTGGTATGTTTTAGCTTACCTCAAGGGCATCCAAGATGTAGGTGTCTTTGTTTCCGCAGTAGTTTCAATTTTGATATTTTTAGGTCAAACCGTTCTTGTCTGTCAGTCATATAATGCAGGTCTATGGTCACCACCTCAAAGAGCAGCACAGAGAAGTCCAAATTAAACATGATTTAATGAGTCGTAAATGTAAGAACACATTGATGGCCTAAGACACGAAACGAGCGGTTTGTGTGAGAAAACGAACAGTGTTTATATAGTTTTTACCTCTTGTAAACACAGCCGCGTCCAAGTGATCTGAGGGCGCCGGCGCTTCGGTCTGCGCAAGCGCCGGAAGTGATTTCTCTGAAAAAAATCAACGTTGCCTGTTGATATATCGAAATCGTCTTCCATTGCGATTTCCTGTATATCTAAATATGTTTAGATCTTCACAGTGAAAGGTAGGGATGTCCCGATCCGATCACGCGATCGGAAATCGGGCCCGATCACGTGGTTTCAGACTCGATCGGAATCGGACGTTCCCTTCCGATCAGGACTCGGATTTATGTAAATTAGGGGTGTAACGGTACATGTATTTGTAATTATTGAACCGTTTCGGTACGAGGCTTCCGGTTCGGTACGCATACAAACCGAACGATTTCTAGGACCATTTTTCCTGCAGACAAAATCCGCGCTGACGCGATCACCACAACCTTGCGCAACATCAAATGGCAAGCGTAATGAAAGCGGAACGAAACTGCGCTTCTCATTATATTGTGCTTCACGGACCATATCAGTTCGGACCAGCAACATCTGTGCAGCGTGAGATCAAGCGAAGAGATCCAGTGAAGAACACATTTGAATTCGCCACTGAAGTAATAACATCGCAGCGAGATCTAGTGAGAAGCATTCAAATTTCTCCGTTATTAACCGTAGATCTCTATTAGATCAAACAGCGCTGACGTGGACACCAGGAGAAACATTGTGCCGTGAATGAACATGGATTTAATGTTGCACTTCAAAACTCAAATATTATATAAATATATATTTAAATGTTATTTTTAATGTGATTACCAAAACATTATTTGTTCATCCTTCAAAGATTACCCCCATTTATAAACCTGAAAGTTTCAAGATGTTGGAAAACTCATACTTATTTAAAAATAGTTTTTCTTTTAATAAATAGGAAATTTCTCTGGCATTTCTTTCTTTTTGCTGTATCGCATCGAACCGAACCGCAAATTTTGTGAACTGTTACACCCCTAATGTATATATGTTCTCATAATTTTTTTATACACTTTTAAAACATTTTTATTTTTTGTTTACATGCCTGCCGGGTATTTTAAGTTGAGGTGCTATTTGTTTTTGTATTAGACTTTTTCTATATTTACTGTTAAAATCCAAAAGTGAAGATTTGATGTTATTTATTACTTGATTGTTCAAGCTACCTCACAGAAGTGCTCTGTTTGTTAACAGCTGTTGAATGTTAAAATAAGGTGAATTAAATCAAAAATAAGGAACATCCTGGATCTGTTTTTTCTCTCTTCTTTATTATTTTTTTATGTATTTATATAAGTATCGGATCGGGACTCGGTATCGGTAGATACTCAAAATCAAATGACTCGGACTCGGACTCGAGGGCAAAAAAACCTGATCGGGACATCCCTAGTGAAAGGTAACACTTCCGAAATCTCTGTGTAAACAATGAGTGACGTACACGCGCGAGAGATCACTTCCGGCGCTTGCACAGACCGAAGCGCCGGCGCCCTCAGATCACTTGGACGTGTCTGTGTTTACAAGAGGTAAAAACGATATAAATACTGTTCGTTTTCTCGCACAAAGCGCTCGTTTCGTGTCTTAGGCCATCAATGTGTACTTACATTTACGAGTCATTAAATCATGTTTAATTTGGACTTCTCTGTGCATGCTCTTTGAGGTGGTGACCGTAGACCTGCATTATATGACTGACAGACAAGAACGGTTTGACCTAAAAATATCAAAATTGAAACTACTGCGGAAACAAAGACACCTACATCTTGGATGCCCTTGAGGTAAGCTAAAATATACCAAAAATGTATTTCAAAGTGAACTATCCCTTTAAGTCAGGTGCGTAGGGGAATTTCTACCACAACACATTTGGATAGTGACATAAAAGCACTATCAAGTGTGCAACATGTATGTTCCTCCTTTAATAATCCTTAAATGGCTGGAATCTACAGTACGACCCAATACAGTACAAGTTAACCTTATCTGGGTTGTATTTTCTCTCACTTTGCATAGTCTTTTTCCTTGTAAAGATGAGGGAATGTCAAGCATGATGGCAAAATCAAATACCATTGAGTCTGAATGAACACAACCTTTGGGATCAACATAAAGGAAGCATTTTCTTCTATTCATTTCATAGTTTCCGTGACTTTGATGTTGAATAAAGAACACTGTTAAGTGTTTGTGCTACCTTAATTTTAAGTTATATTCAACTTGAATTGTGAAACTGAATTAAGTGACAACTTGGATATTTGAGTTATCTCAACAAGTTATTCTAGGGAAGTTATTCTAATGCTAAATTTTAAGTTGTGATAGCTAATTGTGAATAAATACGTGTGTCCACATTTTTGACTTATCCTCAGTTAGTTCGCAGTTTAACACCATTTTGCAGAGTCAATGTGTACTTTTAAAAATATACGGTTGTTTTACTGTCATAGATTCACGATTGTAGGTCAGAAGCAAAAACAGGAAACGGCCCAAAAACCAGTTCATATACTTTATGAGCCTAAAGTGAAACCGCGAAAAGTCAGTTTATTTTTAACATCAATATTTAATTTCAGAAATGTTCAAAACCCTTAAAGGTCATGATTTAGATGTTTTATCTTGTCTTAGAGACAACACACACATTTATTTTATTATTTTAAAAGATAAAGATTAAGTAATTATAGCACAAATCAGAACATTAAGAATAAAAAGCATGGAATACGAAATACTTACATGACACTGTAATACTCTCACTTTTCTCTTTGCTGACAGGATTGTGTGCCTCGCATGAGTACGGTTTATTCTCCTGTACTTCAGTAAATGACAAGAACACTTGAGGTGTTTTCTCATTCTGGATAATGTTGTCTTCTATATACCAGGATAGAGTCAGATCTTCTCTGTTTCCGATGTCACAGGAGAGAGTCGCATTCCCATCTTTTGTGCATCTGATGCTCACAGTGGGTTTAGGGGCCTTTTCTGTAACAGAAACATGGTGGTTATTTACTATAATGTAACTACTATAGAAATATACAGTCTGATTTTGTTATTATTATTGTGTTGGAAGGGTAGAAATATTTGTCATCTTACCATATACTTTAATTTCCACTTCTCTTGTACCAATCTCTGCACCATCAGCATTAAATTCGGTGAATTTATATATGCCCGTGTCCTTCAGACTAACTTTTGACATTTTTAATGATCCATCTTCTTCCATAGATACACCTGCATATATTCCTCTGACAGTCCCACCTTTCCAGCGAAGAATGTTGCCGTTTATGTTGTGGACCCATTTTATCTCAGGTGGTTTCTCTTTGTTTCTTGATGTCCGCTTAATGATGCAGGACGTTCCCACTAGTAGATCTTTTCCACATGTCTCTGTTGAGACTATAATAAATAAAATCATATTAGTATTTAATAAAAACTCAACAGGGTTCAACTGCTCATATGTGTTTCACTATGAGGAAAAACAGAGAATGAATCATTCTCAGGGTGGGTTTCTTTTTAAAAGTCAATTTCGGTTCAGACACTAACTTTAGACAACACAGTTCAATATTATATTGCCACTATATAAAAAAAGTTGATTTAACACACACTGACTCCTATAACAACAACAGGATCTTTCATCACACTGTAAGTTGTCACAAATGGGGATTTGCGTAAGTGCCTATTATATCAGAACTTAAACAGTAAAATTATTATAAAAACAGCTGAAAGGTAAAAAGTAACTTAAAAATACCAAACCATTGTTATGACCAACAGAACTTAAAGTTGTGTAAAACTACAAAGCATGCCCTGACCTGACATTCATATATATATAAAGAAACTGTTCTGAGTTCAAATCTGCCTTTGTTATATTAGTGTATTTCTCTTGTGAAACTTCACAAAAAAATATTATAATTTAATACTTGTTTTGAACCAGATGTTTGAAACCAACAAATCAGTGATAAAACAAGACTCAGTCAAAATAGTTCCTGAAATTCAGACTTTGTGCTGAACTATGAAAATAAAGGGAGTTTCAGCAGCGATAGAAAAAACATCTTGGGTCCCCAAAGAACCTTTCAGTCAAAAGCTCTAAAAAGAACCATTTCTTTCTTATTTCGAAGAACATTTTAATAATCTAAAGGACCTTTTTCCGCTTTAAATAACTTTTTGTGGAATTTAAAGATTCCATCGATGTTTAAATGTTCTTCAAAGAAACATAAAGGCCAATAAAGAATCTTTATTGTAACATTATAATTTGACTACTACATATATAAAAGTTGGACTTTCTGTGAGTGTCTTCTAATAAAGGCACAAACAAACACTCATTGCAGCAGTTTGCATGTAAACATCATATTTGCATTTAAAGGTGTCCAAAAATGACAGTAAAAATATTTTTTTCAAGTGGCCACTATATATAAAGTGCATGTGTTGCTTTAAGGACATATTTTAACTGATCCAACAAATAAAAATTTAAATCTGACAATTTAGATGTTATAATATGATTTATAATATTGAGTTGGTATAAAGTAATGCAGCATGCATGAAAACAAATGTTAATATGGATTACTATTCTTAATCCTTTAAGACTCTTTATCCTTTGATCGCAACTTTTAATCTCAACTACACAATATATAAGAAAAACTGCTTCTTCACTTCAGTCTATTAACATATCTATAGAAAACAAAGTCAGAACCTACCAGAGAGTGCAGCGAAGCCACAGAGGAACAAAATTAAGAGATTGTATTGGCAGTTCATTGCTCTTCTGAACACAGCAAATGTTCCAGAACCTTTTTCACAATCAACTGGAGGAAATCCAGTATATCAGCAGAACCGCAGTTTCATAACCACAGCCACAGGGCGGTGCTTCATGTTCTTTTGATACGATTTTTACTTTCTTTTATATGGATTTTGATCGGATCTATGTCTACAATATTTAACAACAATACTTTTAAATAAAGTCACTTTTCTGTTCATATATGCATTATGATGTAGGCTATGACGATTTTTTTTTTAAAATTGATAATACTGTTTATTTTATTTTATTTTTTATTTATTTTATTTAACAGGGACAATGTACAATATACTGTACTAGATTTAGGTGCCAAAAGCGTGCATAATATTACAATAAAACCATAATAACCAACATAAAAAATACAAATAGGCTGCAAAATAAACCAACTGTTATTACAAGATTTTGCCAGCCATTCTGACACTCAGTGGTAAAGAATTCCACATGCCAGCTGCCTTCACTGAAAAGCAGTTTTGTCCAAAAGTCGTAGACCGAAACTTAACACAACAGTCAAGTCAAGTCAAGTCATCTTCATTTATATAGCGCTTTTAACAATGGAGATTGTTTCAAAGCAGCTGTACAGAGATAAACATACAATTTACGGTAACAGAGATTGTTTAGGCTTTATAGCGATTTTTGAATAATGTTATTTCCAGCTAAAGTTGGTTTTGATTGATTCACTTCCAGCTAAATGATCATTTGTTATTACATTAGGGGCCACTAAGACGACGACGTTCTCTCTAAACAGACTTTAAACGCGAACCGAACCTGTGACCTGATGGCGTTCACATGCGCATTAAAAATTGATTCTATAGTTAGGCCTATATTCGTTTGAATATATGTGCGCAGGTTTGTAATTTCCCTACAAACCATGCCTAAACAAACTACTTGTCTTGCCTATTCATTTGATAAAGAATTTAGTTTTATTTTATCACTTCGGGGTACGCGAACCGAATGTTCAACGATTTATCTGTAGAGTGGGAAAGGGATCCTCCATAGGGAGAGGATAGTTGACACTTCAGCACTGCATTCTCATCGGGTCCAGGCGAATCTCCTTCGTCAGATCTGGACACGGCCTGGATCCGGCAGGGTGCGGGAAAAACCTCGGGATAAACAAAGACACTAAAGTTAGCGTAGATACAGTCCCCTCTAGAGGAAGCTCTTGTTAACCTTGAGCCTGGTCTGCTTATTGTTACATATTGTTTGAGAGATTGTGGTTCTAAGTCATGAATGATCTTATATAGGGTGAATTGCCCTAATGTGGGACATTTTTTGCACTTCAGACTTCTGTGACATATTGGATATTGCGATGTGTAACCAAAACATTAAATCCACACCAATACCATTTTAAAAACCCCAGTATGTGTCCTAATCAAATCAAAAGATAAAATTCAGATAACCCATTCATAAGAGAAATTATAGACATATTAGTGCTCGTATTGCAAGTTGTCTGAAATAATCAGCAGCTTCCTAATGTGGGACACTGAAAAATCTATGATAAAATACCAAAAATCACATTGATACTACATGTAGAATAGTAAAATCTTATTTTATTTTAGATTCTCTCTTAAATCTTAGTTAGTAATTTTCTTTGTTATGAATGAATGAAACATGTAAAATAACAAAATCTTTAGTTATATTATCCATTTCCAGTAAACCAGTATCACAATCCATAAACAAGACCATTATATCAGTTATAGTGATGCATTTGTAAAACACCTAAAAAATAAACAGATAAACTTTAGACCAAAATTATTTGGTATAATTACAACTAAAAAATAAATGTACAATTGTTTCTGTTTCCTCTTTACCAAAACAGCATAATAAATCCATTCTTTAAACTTACTGATAAAATCATTACATGGATAATATCTATTTATTATTTTAAAGTGAGTTTCTTTGACTTATTTATTAGGAATTACATAGGCTATTTATTAATATCTGACCACAGATTCTGAAAAAAGGTCATGAAAATCCTGTTTCCATTTCATCAATGCCTTAGGTGAAACATTTTTTCTTTAGTTAAGATTTGTCTAATATAAACATTATTCATATTGTTCTTAAAATAAAATAAAAAAATGTTTAAAACATGCCCCACCACACATTTTTGACTCATTGAAGTACTGTCCCACATTAGGCTGATCATACTGTCCCGGATTTGGAAACCACATTTCCTAATGTGGGACACTAGGAAATTTGATCAAAATATAAAATATATAGTTTATACACATAAAGTTACACTATTTTTTGATGGACAAACATTTCATAAGTATATTAGGCTAAAAAGTAGCATGATTGCAACACCTTAACATCAAATTTGTTAAAACTCTATGTCATTAACCTTCTGATGGTTTTCACACAAGGTGTCTCCTTTTTGATGATTGCTCCACCCTCAAATATGATTGGACATTTGATAGGTCATGTGATTTTGATCACATGACACCACAGCTTTGTCTAACCCATAGTTTCACTGTAGTTTCACTGTCATTCATGTATTTATGGGGGACCTACAAACACTAGACCTTAGGTGTCCCACATTAGGGCAATTCACCCTACTAACCCAACATTAGACATAAACAGGAAATTTTCAAAAGTCAACAAGTTATACGTTTTAACAATATTACAATAATGAAGAGAATTAGTTTTTTTTATCCATGACTTTCAAAGCTTGTTTATACAGACTCTTAAGTGGTTGCACATATGCATTAGATATCATGATGTAGGCTACAATGACGATTTTCTTTTTAATTACCAGGTTCATGGATAATATATTATTTTTTTGCATTTGTCAAAATATATTATTCATGTTGTTAATATTAAATAATTATTAATTAATCAAACGGTTTCATTTCCTTTGGGTTTGCAGGTCTTTCTGCAGAAATTACATGTTAAGAGTCAACACTTTTGTGTTTTAAGATGATTTGTTTGTTGTTTGCATGTTTTTATTTTTATTATGAGTCGTTTAAATACGTTTTAAACCAATTCATTTTTTTTAACATTCTATTTGTTTTCATACAGAGACACGTTTGTTCAGACTTTGTATTAAATTTTATTTGACATTAGATACGTCACAAAGGCCTACTCGCTGTTTATAGGCTATTATTTGTATCATTATGAACATGAAGGACATAATATCAAATATACAGTTAAATTGGAAGCAAGTTACAACATGTTACATTAGGCTATAGTTGTGTCGTTTAAGTAACAATAAACTACAGTGTGTGTATCCATTAACATTAAATCTTCGTTAGGCCTATTATTTGTAACAACATCACCGTGAAGGAAATATTACAATCACATATAGGCCACCGTCGAATGGGAAACACTTTACAACATGTTACACATTTATTAATATTATTTGAAATAATAACGGTGTATAGTTATATCCTTGAAGTATAAACTACTGTGTTTGTATCCATTCATTGACATTATGCATGATCAATAGGCTACCCAGCGAGCAAACAGTCGTCTATAATACGTCTAAAAGACGTAATTGTTAGACATCCAGAAGACGTCCTCACAGGAGCCAGAATGAAAGTTTTTTATACGTCTTTTCAGGACGTTGTTTAGACGTCAATTAAAGACGTGCTACAGACGTAATTTTTAAACATCCAGAAGACGTCCTCACAGGAGCCAGAATGAAAGTTTTTATACGTCTTTTCTGGACGTTGTTTAGACGTAAATTAAAGACGTGCTACAGACGTAATTGTTAGACATCCAGAAGACGTCCTCACAGGAGCCAGAATGAAAGTTTTTTATACGTCTTTTCTGGACGTTGTTTAGACGTCAATTAAAGACGTGCTACAGACGTAATTTTTAAACATCCAGAAGACGTCCTCACAGGAGCCAGAATGAAAGTTTTTTATACGTCTTTTCTGGACATTGTATAGACGTAAATTAAAGACTTGCTACAGACGTAATTGTTAGACATCCAGAAGACGTCTTCACAGGAGCCAGAATGAAAGGTTTTTATACGTCTTTTCTGGACGTTGTTTAGACGTAAATTAAAGACGTGCTACAGACGTAATTGTTAGACATCCAGAAGACGTCTTTACAGGAGCCAGAATGAAAGTTTTTTATACGTCTTTTCTGGACATTGTATAGACGTAAATTAAAGACGTGCTACAGACGTAATTGTTAGACATCCAGAAGACGTCTTTACAGGAGCCAGAATGAAAGTTTTTTATACGTCTTTTCTGGACATTGTATAGACGTAAATTAAAGACGTGCTACAGACGTAATTGTTAGACATCCAGAAGACGTCTTCACAGGAGCCAGAATGAAAGGTTTTTATACGTCTTTTCTGGACGTTGTTTAGACGTAAATTAAAGACGTGCTACAGACGTAATTGTTAGACATCCAGAAGACGTCTTCACAGGAGCCAGAATGAACGTTTTTTATAAAAAAATTTTGGACATTGTTTAGACGTCAATTAAAGACATGCTACAGACGTAATTGTTAGACATCTAAAGGCAGCCAGAATAAAAGTTGTATTAGTCACGTTTTCTGTAGTATAAATGTCAAAGAAGACTGTTAAAGACCCATATTGAAACGGAAATCCCATTTGTGCATTTTGCAAGGATCCAACTTTAAAAAATCTTTACTTCAAAACAGTGGCAGTGAGTTAGTTCTCACTGAGAAAAACCCAGTTACTCATTGTTAATGGTTGTCGTGTCATGAAACTGCAGACACACAGACCATAGACCTAAATAAGATTTGAAAGAATTTTGATAATATTGAATACTCAATTGAATACGGGAACTGTGTAGTGTATATACAAGTCTTGCATTTGTATATCTTATCAATATAATTGTAATAAACTGCTTACCATTTGCCTGTAAACCAAACTGATCACTCCAAGAAATCAACTATTTAAATCTCAAAATATATATTTTATTACTATTTTGTTCTACTGGACCAAAACTTAAAAGCCAGAACAGTAAAGTTATAAATTAACACAATTTCCCTTTAAATAATCTATAAAATGTTGTTAAAACAGTATAACATATCAATTAACAAAATGTGGCTGC